TATAATCTGAATCATATACTTGTGTGAGTCTCCAGGTATGGGGAACTTGTGAAAGGACATAAATGAATTGCTTCCAAAATACAATAGTTGGACTGACAATGAGAAGACATTGACACCCAAAAACAGAATATAGAAAAGAATTAAGGGATAAGAAAAATTCAAGAGAAAACTCCCCAAACCACAGGGCTCAGCCATCAAATCTTAGGACCAATGAATAATCCAATGTGACTTGATGGCTTGTCTCCAAACACAATGCAGGGATGGTTGGGCCCACAGGGCCCCAGAAGCCCTGTCTCACTGCTTTGCTGGGTACAGTCCACATAAGAGACACCAGGCCTATGAGTTGAGTGTTTGCAGCAATCATGAGTGGCTTTGCATACTGATGGCTCTAAACACCTGAATCTAAGAAGCAGAGCTGCACATTCCTTATGTAGCCAGTTTGCAGTGAGAACTGAGTTAGACATGGACACCATCAATTCTCGTTTGGTAAGACGGAATACACCATTAAGTCTGAGAAAGAGTGACTACTTAATCATTTTTGTGAGAAACGCTTTCAATATGTTGCCCAGTCTGAAGTAAATCATGTGATCCTCTTGCCCTTGCTTCTCCAGTGTTGACAATTATAGGTGCATGCCTAGTGGATGGATAAAATGACAAATGTCTGATGGTAAAATGAGAGGGGAAAGAAATAATTCTACCTCTTTCGAGAAACTACAGAACATACAAATTCAGTTTATCACATCTTTAGTTTTTACATGCAATAATACTAAGCTTAATGCAGCAGTTAATAACACTTTATCTAACTGTCTTAAAAGTATACATGTGCAAATATATATTTTATATGCAATTTATTACTTTTGGATAAGTTTGTTACTTCTCCAAAGGATTACACCATAGGGTTTCACAAGACATATATTGTACATTGCTCAGATTAATTCCATCATTGCTCTCTACTTTTCTACATAAAATTTCCTTTAAATATAAATAGAAAATTGTAAGTAAAAGTAGAATAAAAATATTCCATCACAAAAGAGGCTAAAAAAACCTACAGTAGCCAAAATGATTTCAGGCAAGGAAAACATCAAAATGTAGATTCTTAGTACTCAAGGGTTATTACACAAGCTTAAAACAGCTATTGTACAAAGAAAAAAATTAACAAATGTATGGCATGCAGGAACTAATGATGGACATAAGGTTTGGAAGCATCAACTCTCCAATGTTTACAGGTTATGAACAGCATAATGACATACATAGAGAAACAGTTGACCTGAAGTTAACCATCAGGCTGAGTGCTTGCTCTCTGCAGACTAGTCAACCAGGAGACAATGGGATACACAGATGTCATCACCCATAGAGGGGCAACAGTGCCAAGACCTAATGTAACATGGCATCCCGAGAGCACCTTGGAGCCAGCATGGATGTTAATGGAGAACTGGTGAGTTTGTGAAAATATCTGGAGATTAGTCTGGAGTTTAGTAAACAGGAATGCACTGATCCAAATCTAAAAGTACTTTGTTCCATGCTAATGTAAAATAAGAAGATATCATGAATGGAAACAGGGTGTGGGTGTGTGGAATACAGAGGGAATGTAGACACATCCTGATGAACAGATTTGAAGCAGTAGCAAATCAAATCCCCATCACAGCAGTGTCTAAAATTTCTGTCTGCAATGTTGAATGCTGCAAAATCCTTTAAAGAAGAACTAACTCCAATTCAAAAACTGTCTCACAACATTGTGAGGAAAAGAAGAGCCAAACTCACTCTATGAGCAACATTGCCCTGCACCAAAACCAGGAAGACCAAAAATGAAAACAGTTGAATAACCCTACTGACAATATTATCAACAAAATATTGTACATTGACTCCATGAGCACATCAAAATATTGCCTTCTATTTTGAAGTTGGATTTATTTTAGGGCTGTACCACGGGCTCAACTGTATATGCAAGTTAATGAATTCAATACATCTCATCAGCAGGAAGAAGAGCAAAACCCATATGACAATTTCTACAGATGTAGGACATCATTCAGTGAGATTTAACACAGTTCTATGATGATAGCTCTCAATCCATTAAGAGACAAAGCATAGTGTTGAGTTCTCTATCACAATAACAAAATACCTGACAGAATAGCAATCATTTTACCTTATCATTAAAGACCACATCAATTAAAAAGAAGGTAAGAAGACTGGGGCTTGACTCAGGAGCAGAGCACTTGCCTCACATGCAAGAAAGCCTGAGTTCCATTTCTAGAAACAAGAATAAGTTAAGCTAAATTGAAATGCACATCTGTGTGTCTTATAGAGAAATTCTCATATTCTAATTAAAACTGCTATAAATCCAATTATATTTTTTGGATAACCTGATAAGAGTACTTTTCATCCAGGTATTATAGCATGTGTTTGTCATTCAAATTTGATAAATCAAATTTAAATAAAATTCAGTATATTATACTTGCAAATATACAGCCTAAAGAAGGCAATAAAGCTATCCTGGAACATAACATTTATAGCTCAGTGAGGCCTGTTCCTCCTTTGTGCAAAGGGCAGCTGGACACTCAGTGCAGACTTGCCATCCCTTTCAAGCTGAAGCCCACTCAGGAGTGTGTTTCCTGAATGCTTGGCTCAGTCTCTGTCTGTTTCTTCCATGAGAGAAAACCCCGAGTCTCTGGTAACACTCTGCGCTGAGAGCACCCAAGTCCTGAATGACCCTCCTGGCCCATGATAAATCTCAGTTTTGATATGGGGCAGAAGTGTGACTGTCAGTCTTGGAAGCACTCATGGGAACCCATGCTTGAGGAGACTCAATTACCTCACTGATCATTCCTTTGGAAACAGAAAGTTAGAAGCAATGTCCTTCCACACAAGGTGCTAAAATGAGACAAAAGAGGGTGGCTCATCCTGAAGAATATCAAATGACAACTCTGACACATGACTCAGTGTGAAATCACAATAAACCTTTTACTCACACAGCAGCACTAGTGATGTGTGTGAGGATTCACTCTGGATAAACTCTCAGTGTCATGAATAAAGGGACATCCTTGATGATTGTCATTCATCCTCAACACTAATGTTCCATCATGGCTAGCCACCAAGCCTAAAATCAGTGTGGAGAGAATGCAGGTCAACCTTACTTTGGAAAAACAGTCTGGAGAAAGCCAAACAACCAAAAAAACCTCTAATAGTGCCCTTTAATGCAAATCTAGCTGATCATTATGAATTTTGACTAAATAAACATCATTGAACAATATTGAATATAATACAGGATAATGAAATGATCTGGAAATATAAAGTGTACATGAATATGAGAAATCAGATTAAAATTGCTATTCAATTAGATTATATCCAACTTTCAAATTGAATCTAGATAATTAAAAACATTTAAATAATAAAACTGATCTGAAAATGTGAAATACAGTTGTTTTGTTCTACGTTACACTAGACAGTTTAAACTTAAAAATTTCTTCTTTCCATGTGGCATATAATGAGCCTCACTTTCTGAGTCTTCCTTCTTTAACAATTTACTGGCTAACCTCCCCTCATTCCTACCTCCCAACAAAATCTGCATCTCCATTTATACCCCAGAGAAACACAACAGGTACTTTATATTCTTCCCAAATGTAGTTGGGTGTGACAACTCCAGGTCTCAGAGGCAATGTCGTAGACATCTGGTCTAAATCTGCTTAATACTCCTCAGTCCTTTTCTCTGGTACTGGGAGCTGTCTGGGGACAGAGTGACAGGCATCTCTGCACTTCCTTCCAATAGGAAACTATGGATTCTTTTCCCTCATCCTCAGAGTTGTACTAAGCAGGGGCAGGATCTCAACCCACAACACATCTCATATCTTAATGAGGTCATTCCTGAGATAGCATAAATATGGCATCTTGCAGCATACAATTTGATAAAGCAAAAACACCTTAATTCAAGTAGCTTTTAAATTTTCATGCAACAAATCACTGTACAGTACTTTCAATATTTTAAACAATATGGAAAATTTATTACATTCCTCAATGAACCAACTTGATATTATGCCTTATTAGTTTCCTATCCCCTTGCTTAATACATACAAGAGCAGTTACTTAAAAAGCGTGCTGATTATTATTAAACTTTTAAGACATATACATATATTTTGCAAATGTGGTAACAAATCAGAGAGATCATTTAAAGAAACTAAAAATGTACCTTTCATCTAGTCCTGCCTGTCAGGGCAATTGACTGCAACAGAAACCCTTATTTATTAGTACCTATGACCTCTATATGGCTGCACCTGTCAGGCAGGCTGAAGCTCACTATTACTGAGAAAAGCCTGTGCAGCATCCATCCACTCTGCATTATTCCCTACATGTCCTCCCCCATCCTTCCCCATATATCCTTCCTTCCTTCATTTAATGACTGTAAATTACTCATTAGAAATTACTCCCAAGGAACAGGAAAATTAATTCACACAGTGTACTAGGGTTCCCAGCACAGTGCCTACTAAGTGTCATGGGAAAAACTGAAAATGTGCAATCCATGTTATTGTAAGTAAGGAATGTGTGTTGTGTCCAAAAGTCTGACTTAATCTGACCCCTCTTCCATTCTTCTCACAGCCTTCATAATATCAGTATAAGGAGGGATTTCAGGCAGGTAACTGGTGGTCTTCACTGGAACACAGAGCATTTGCATTGAGCAATTATGGGTGGTAGGTGGGTTGTGCATGCTGTGCTCAATGCTATGGGGAGTTGGGTCTGGGAGGACTGTCACCAATATGGCCACTGAACTTTCCAAAAATGGAATACCATGGCTTGATTTAGAGTTTCCTACATTCTATGGCTTTAGTCCTGGATCTACACAAGACTCCAAAACACATCACAATTCCAGAAGCCTTGTTAGTTAAATGACTCTCTTCTTCAGTGTCCCAGTGCCATCACCTGGGTTGTCTTATAAAATATTGTCGCCCAATATCTAAGTTCATGTATGGATGCAAACACTAATGTTGTAAGGGCTAGGACCAGTCACTGGCTTATTGAGGCCCTACAGAGTCATACACATTGTCTTGGTACTTAGTCAGAGATCTTCCAAAGTTAGAGAATGCAGATTGCGTGTGAGTGACTTGTCATCTTTGCCTACCACTTGTAGTGATTCTCATCCTGGCTGCCTTTTAGAATCAACCAGAGAGTTTACAACTCCAATGTGCAAGCCACAAGGGAAAGCACTGTCTTATAACCTCCAAGGTAGGATGGAGAGGCTAGTGTTTTTCAGCTTTCATTAGATGTGATCAACTAATACATGATGAATATATTATATATATCTCCCCAAAAGAGCAAATTATAACTGCCTGATTATCCATAAGCTATTCAGACAAAATAGATTAAATTTTTGAAATTGTTCAAGATAAAAATTATTTTCAGATACCCCTGAGAATAAAGATACATGGAGTGAGGGAGTGGACGTGTAGATCAAGCAGTTGAATAGTATGCAGCCCTCAGATCAAACTCCAATTCTGTTACAAAGAAACTCAAGATAAATGGTCAATTACTACATATTTAGATATCATTGATGTAAGAAAATTATATTACATCATCCACACTTTGTCTCCAAGGTATTTGATAAATTACCTGATATAAATTATGTGATATAGAGAAAAGTGAATGTGAAAAAAAAGAATTTTTATGCAAGAAATCATTTTTCTTTTTTAAAGTTTTAATTGACAATAATAATAATTCATGTTCAGGGGATTCAGGTTTCCATACATGTATATAATACCCAGTGTGGAAAAGTTATCAGGATTATCAGTCTTTCCACCACTTCAAATATGTACAATTTCATTGTGGAAAAACATTGAAAATCCTCCTCTTGTTGTTCTGAAATACACAATACATGGTGGTTAGTGACAGGCTGCAGATGGAACTGGATAATTGTGTTCAATGAAATAAATCAAGCATAGAGCCATTCTCCTTCTTTAAATCCAGTTTCTCATCAGTGCCCAGGTGCTGGCCTGTGAAGACGAGGAGCAAAGTCCATGCTGTCTGTGCTGTGCAGTGAAGGAAGAGAAGAAATGGAAACCTCTACATACTGTGGTTTACAGTGGGTTTATTGTCCCAATGCTCAGAGGAACCATATCCTTTTTCTCCCTATGTGTCCATACACCTGAGCATTCACCTGAAAGTGTGTGAGACCTTTCACATGCAGTGAATAGGAGCAGTTCTGCCCACCTGAGACACTGCATGCTAACTCAAATAAGAAAAGTGCAGACTCAGGGAGGAATTAGGAATCCTGCAAATTTCTGGGGTCCTGTGGGAGGAGGCTCAGGTCCTATCCATATATCCATACTCCAAAATTTCCCCAAATGAGCCACTACCTCTTCTCATACAGCAGTTTTCTGCTGAAAGTGAATCAGATTTCCCTGCTCACGGTTGTGTTCCAGTATCTCCAGTTCTCAAATCTGGGTCTGACCCTATGGACACTACATGCCCTGGTTTCAAGGTTATGGTGGAGGTCAAAATCCCTGTACCCAGTTCCTTCATCAGGGAGTCCAGCATCAATGAGAGACGCCTCATGAACAGCATACCCTCTGAATGAATCCAGCTCAATTTCTGGTTGGAATCACTGGAGATCATCACGGCAGGTATTTCTTCCATTGACAGATTTCAGAGACTCTCTTCTGATCCACATGCAGAAATCCACTTGGGAGGTAGGTTCTGCTCCCCTTAGGCCACTGGCTTAGATTTCCCCCATTCTTAGAATTCTCCACGCCCCACTCCTCTGCTGGGATCTATATTCTATCCTGAATACTCCTGGACCTGACCTGCTGCACCTCAGACATCCCCTTCACAGTCATTCTCAGGGAGGTCTCTGACACCACTGATCAAGATATTATCAGCATCTGCCCTATTCCAGTTCCCATCCTTCTCACAGTGTTTCCCAGGTGTGTTTACCTTCATTGTGCTTCACAGAACTATTACCAACGTCAGCAGGAGGCTAGAATAAAAGAGTAATTGTATGGAGAGCCAGTAGGCTGAACCTTCTGCAATTGATCCATTGTGTATCCTCTTGTTCTGCCAGTCTGTACATCCAAGACTTTGTTTTATTCCTAACTCCTTCCTTCTTGACACATGAGGTGAGCATTCAGGAAAGTTCCATTGACATGTACAATTCCAGAGACTCACCTATTGGGTTCGGGGTTCTCATTTCTGCAAATTTCTGTTGTTCCACAGGGTAAAGATGAATGGTGAAACTCATGATAGCAAGTTAAAATAGTTTTTACTTTTACTCAGAAAAACATTAATGAGAAATCAATATAATAATTTGAGAAGAATACAATAAAAGAACAAGGAAGCTTTTTCTTTTGGTACCTTTAATGACACGTTTTTCCTCATGTTCTTTGAATACCATTCTGACTATTTTCATTTTGTACAGAGACACATGAAATCTGTGGAGTAACCATAAGTAAAAGTGAATCTTCAGGTTTCTCTTTCCATTTTATGTAGCATCTCACCAGATGTATGTGAAAAAGTCTTTAGCAAACATGCATGACACTTTTACCACAAGATTCTATTCTTCAGCATACATAAAAATAATCATCAATTGTTTGGATGTGAAACTTCTGCAGGGAGAATCAGGAAAAATGATTAATATATCTTTCTTTTTATCTCTAATTATGTGTTACACATTTTCACAAATTCACTACTGAAACAACAAAAGTATTTAACTCAAATTTTGTGGAATAGGAATCCTTAGAAAGCCTGCCTGTGTCCCCTGCATAGCTTCCTACAGGTGGTAATGTAGTTCTCTACTGGGCTGTGGTTCTCAGAATAGCCTTTTGGGATATTCATTTCCTTAGAATGGTAAGTCTCTGACCCTCTGTTTCCATGCCATGACATCTATTTCCTGTTGCAAGTCACTTCAAATGTCTGCAACTTACCTTCTGCAAGGCCAATAGAAAACCTTGTTGGAGTTCCAATCTGTCTTGAATATTCTTTCCCTATGATCATCTTATGTTGAACAAATTATTTGGTGTAAATAATCTTGACAGCTTGGATGGAAACACACACATAAAGGCAAAGACTGTGGGATAGGGTTGATGACAAGTACATGGAAGTATCAGAAGACAGAATTCGGTAACTCTTCAAGTCCAGGACTCATAAGCCTACACGAATCTGTAATTAAGAAGGAGCCAGGCACTGGTAACTCCTGCAATCCTAGGTATTCAGGAGGTAGAAATCAGGATAATTGTGGTTTGACTCCAATCTGGGCACATAGCTGTCGAGAACTTTCTTAAAAATATCCATCACAGAAAAGTATAGGAGAAGTGGGTCAAGGTGTAGATCCTGAGTTCAAACCCCACTACCACCAAAAAGAAGGAAAGGTTTAAGGTCTTTAAATCTAGGTGCTAGGTGTGAGGATGTAGCTGATCTTAAGAGAGATGTGAGGTCTGCTGAAAGCAGTGAAAGTTGTAGATATGTCATCCCTAAATCCCAGGATGAGCAAAATGAGGTAGAGTTCACCTATTGTGTTAGCTCTTCATATTACACAAGTTGAGAAGGTAAGAATATAAAGAAGAAAGGCAAAACCAGGACGTGGAAACCCTGCCATATTCTGATTTTCTTATAAGCTCAATGTACTGTAAAGGCCCTAGGAAACTTGTTATGAAAACGTACGTTAACAGATATGTTTGAGAAAACTGATTTGCATTGCTAGGAAGTGAAAATATGCGTACAACTTGTCATGTTTGTTAGTATTTCATTGGTATTAAAACAAAATTAAATGCACATTTAAGGATGTTAAAAGAAACAAAATACAAGTCAAGGAGATCATTTACCACAATCATTGCTGTTGTCAACATTAGAGTCACAAATCTGATTTCATGTAGGTCATAAGGAAGGTTGCACATGACAGGTACTAAGCAGAGTTTTCCTGAAATGCAGTCATTTAGACACCAAGCAGATTGGTTTTTAACACTTTATATGTACACATGTGTGTCAAACCTATTTCCTATAAAGTTAACTTCATAGAAAACATTGCACATGGCACTATATTAAGTTCCCTTTTAAGTACAGGTTAAGATTACAGACTTTAAAACCTATTAGAAGAGGTGTATTCCAGGGCAAGTGGAGGCTTAGCAGGCAGGGGAACCCAGCAACACAACGAATCCAACAGCTTAAGTTTAGTCATAGATAATTTGATTTCCAATCAATTCTTTCTTCCCAGCTTCAGTTTAGCACATCCTCATCAGCAGAAGGATCCATACTGAGACTCTGATTAGCAAATTCTCCTCCAGTCACCTTTTGTCGGATTTTTGACCTCTGATTCATTATCCTCACATTGATATCCTCCAACCTTCCTTTCTAGAATCTCTTCCTCACAAGGATATTGGAAACAAAAATACTTTTAAACTGTCACAGTAAACTTGGTGGATTTAAAAATATTATGTTGAAACTTGAGAGCACCCTGCAATATGTTTTTGATTTACTAAAAGCTCTCCTTTTGTATATGAAGGTGAACTGGAAGACATAGGGGCCTATGGACACCCCAAAAGAAGCAGAAGTTGTCCCATCCAGTTCAAGGAAAGGTCCAGGTTCCCAGAGACTGTGAGTCCAAAAGGCAAAGAATCAGGAACCACAGAATCTCCAGAATGTTCAGAAAACTGAGACATTTAATGAGGCTCAAAGAGAAAAGGAACAGAGACAAAGGTGAGACATGGGGAAGGTCCTATTAACTTTAGGCATTAAAAATAAGGAGATGTTGTTTCTCCACACCTCCAGGATTTGCAAAACCATTTCCATGAAGTTATTGTGAAGCTGGTGAGAAATAAACAACAGTTCTATTTGCACTATTGAGCTATAGGCAGGGACCAAATTTATTTCATGTACAATCAGTGAAAGGAGTCAAGGAAAGACTAGTTTCTTAGCAGTTCACAGGCACAAAAATTTGGAGTTCCATGAACACCATCTGTTGAAATAACAGGAACTGCCTGCAGTTATAGGGAGGGTCTTACATGAGGGAAGGAGCAAACACAGCACAGATCATAGGGCTGCACTATGTGAGTCACACGAAAGGTTTAATAGAACTGAGATGCAGAATCCATTCTCCCTATTGCAGTTGGTAATAAGGGAATATTCATTTAATATTGAGTCTTCCTCCGCAAGAAGAGCTGCAGAGGAAGGCTACACCTCAGAAATCCCAGGATCCCTCAAGGGACAAAATTGACAGAACCCTGTGAATATCAAAAACAATTGGACAAAACTGACAGAATCCTGTGAATATCTAAGTGTGTGTTATCCACCTGTGTGTTGATCCTTTTCACTTCTGGGTGAACCAGATTATTCACACCCATTTCCATTGTGTGTGCACAGTTTCTAAAATCTCTGTGGCTAGTAGGATCCAACTTTATGTGTTTTCTAAATGAAACACCAAACCTCTCTTTCTTTGTATTTGCATGATCACGTTAGTATTTTAATTGATGCTATGTTGTGGCACCTGAAATGAAATGATCAGACAAAATTGATTAGCATTAAATTTAAATATGCTTTAGACAGAGTGGAAAGGTCATAATTACATGAGAAAGTGATTCTATTAAAATAAAAAATGTCCTTAAGTAAGAAAATAAATCTTTCCACAAATGCGTTATGATACATATAATGACAAGTAATTCACACATCCATCCATGATCAGGAATGAGAGTAACAAGTCTGCCTGCATAAATACTAATGAGATTTTCAGGGAATCAAAGGAAATCACAAGAAGTCTTGCAAGAAAACACTCACTATTCATTTATATTATCACTGTTTACTAATAATTATTCATTGTCAAATCTACAAATTTTAATACTGTTTTTGAAAGCTGGAAAAAGTATTGTTATACACAGTAGGAGGACAAACAGAAAATAAAAGTTAAAGAAAAATGATACCATTTATTATTATAACTTCACTTATAAATAGTGAAACCGGATCTCAAGGGAAAAAGCTTGGCATGGAGTTGTGTGCCAGTGCTCTCAACTCCATTGGAGGTGTGGGTCAGAGGATCGCAGTGCAAGACCCTCCCCTGAGAAAACACGAGACCCCCTCTGAAATAATTATCTAAATAAGACCATTCTGGTGATATGGCTGAAGTGGTTAAGCAAATGCATAGGAAGCACATGACTGAGTTCAAATACCACTATCACTGAAAATAATACAGGAAAGATCTCCAGAATCACTGTGCACGGTGGTGTCTGGTAGGAGGTGGCTAAATAAAAACCAGAGCTTCAGAAATTAAAGTTCATGTGTCTGTCTGTCTGCACCTACATAGGGACTAAGGCTGTGTTTGCTGTGGGCTGCACGTCTCCTGGTGGTCCTGTTTGCTCCTGCAGGGATGTTTGTGTGGGCTCATGCTGAGTTCCCCTCACTGTGTCTCTTGTACAGTAATATGTGGCTGTGTCCTCTGCGGTCACAGAGCTCAGCTGTAGGGAGAACTGGTTCTTAGACGTGTCTCTGGAGATGGAGATGCGGCTCTTGAGGGATGGGTTGTAGCTTGTGCCTCCACCAGAATTTATGTGTCCGATCCACACCAGACTTTTCCCTGGGGGCTGGCGGATCCAGCTCCAAGCATAACTGCTGATTGAGGCACCAGAGACAGCACAGGTGAGGGACAGAGTTTGTGAGGGCTTCACCCATCCTGGTGCTGATTCCTGCAGCTGCACCTGGGACAGGACACCTGGAGAAAAGGAGAATCATAACAGTTAGTCACCTGTGGTTATGAACTTCTCATGGACCCATGTGTGAATTTGGGGACTTTCACCTTGGGGAGCTGTCACCAAGCACAGGAGAAGACCCAGCAGCCTCATCTTCTGGCACACAGCCCTGCCTTCCCCAGAGACCTCAGTCCTGTGTGAAGAGTGAGCTGTGAACTCCACCTGCATGAGAAGGGATTTAACTTAGAGACTGAATGATAATTTGCATGTGGAGAGTCCTCTTCTTATACATGTGGAGGCACTGAGGTCCAGATGCTCTGGAACCTGTCACATTGTCACACTGTTGCTCTTATTTGAAGTCTAGGCCTCCCATACTCTGCTTCATCTGTTATCCAAAGGACAATAGAGACTGGATAGAATGCTGTCTGTGGTTCAAGCATGGAGATACATATGTATAATTCCAGTACATGGGAGTTGATGGTTAGGGGATCACAGTTCAAGTCTAGCCTTGGAAATTGTAGTAAAAATGGATGTCACAACAGATATTTTTAAAAATTGCTAGGGACATGAATCAAGTAGGAGAGCACTTGAAGTGCTTGACACTGTGTTCATTCCTCAGCATTGCAAACAATGCTGCCTGTGATGTGCTTTAATCACAAAGGAGATTGTGATCAATTTGCAGAGAGGCATATGCAAACTGCTTTCAATGCCCCATTTTCAGATGAAAATTCTGCTCCTACTCTGGGGACATTCACATTAACCTTCAGCGTCCTCTTGTTCTCCGTAAGTGATTCCTGGATCTAAACTACTAAATGAATCATTGATGCCCCCCTTTGTAGGACCCTTCTAAATTGATTCCATCCATATAGTGATAATGTCCATAGCAGTCAACTCAGACACCCATGGAGCCTTAAGATCCTAGTCACATTCTGCTTCTTCAAAGCAATTTCAGAAACGTGCTTCCAGACCCAAGAAGCCTACTTCTGCTCTTATTTTTCTGGTTCAAATCCACAATGTCTGTTTTAACATCATTAGGATTGTGGAGAGCAGGATGGACACATCTCTTCCCCAGTGAAAAGAGAATGTCAGGAGTCCATGAGTCAGTGCTTTTTCAATAGAATTGAGACTTCATCACAACCAATGACTTTAAGGACAAAATACTTCCTGTTCAGATTCTAATGACTTCTGACACAAGGTTCAGTGGACTGTTATGGCTTCATGACTCCTCATCTCCCTACTGACCCAGGATGGACCTTTCTTGGACAACACAAAGGTCATTCCTGATGTCACAACCAAGAACACAGAAAACATGGGACAATGTATATGTTCCCAGCAACCAACCATTCAGGAGCATGGTCCTGCAGAGAGCTCATGACAGATTGAGAACTCTACTCATGCTTTGGGGGGTCTCATATCCTGTCTTGGGGGTCAGGAGGAATATGGTGGATGCATTCCTTCTACCTATGACATCTACATAGGTGGGATTACAGGGATGTACCAGATATCTGGCTTGCTGTTGAGCTGAAGTCTCATTCCAATTGCCAATAGGGACCTTTAGCTGTGTCCGCCTATCTATACCTCTCTACCAACTGGAAAATAAGGTACTTTACACAGTTAAATCATAGATTCCACTGCCCTGAACACCACAGAAAATTACAGTAGAATTGTCCTAAACAGCATTCTTGCATATGGTAGCAATATCCTCTGCCCAAGAATGTGGATATGATCGAGATATTGGTAAGTGGTTATTGTTAACAGACAAACATGCACGAAATCCTTTCTTTCATTATGCCATGGTTTATTTTACTTATTTATTTAAGCAATTTTTTTCTGTTCTCTTATTTATTTGGTATTGAGATTGGAAAAATTGTGCATTTTGTTTCCACCACCTTTCACAAAGGGTACAGTATGATGAAGAGTACCCTTGAATTCAGAATATGATTATGGTAAACAATCTTCTATAGAATGGAATTCCCTCTAAACTATTAGAGTTCTCAACATGATAATCCAGTTTACAATTAGTCCATTTCCTGGACATTGGGACATGAAGAATCATTTTGAAGACATTTAATTTTAAAAGTGGAGGGAAATTCTGTATTTCAACAAAAATTTGCATACTCTAAATGTCAGGAAGCAGTTTGCCAAGTGAGGGAATAAAATTCATATTTTAACCGGCCCTTAACTGACTTCCTGGCAGGGACCTGGGGTCAGTGGTACCTTAGGATACCTTGCTGGTCCTGAGTGACGTTCACTGGTCCTCAGCGCCCCTTTGTGGTGCTGAGAACACCCTGCTCTTCCTGAGTGTTCCTGTGAGTCCTGGGCAATCCTGGAGTACCTGAGTGTCCCCTGCTGGTTATGAGTACCATCTGCAAGGAGGAATGTGTCTAGGCTTAAACTGTATGGAAATGACAGTGCCTTGGGCACAGAAATGCACAGCACGGTCCTCAGATGTCACAATGCTAAACTGTAAGAACATTTGGTTATTTCAGTTGCTACTTTGACTCTGGATTGCAAATTGTTGGTGTAGTTAGTGTTCCCTTTAGCTCAGATCACACCAATCCACTCAAGGCCCTTCCTAGCTGAAGTTGTATCCAGGACACAAAGTGTTCAGATGCTGAAAGTTTGTATGTGACAGAGCTAAGGCTGAACATGTGGGAGTGGACCAAGGCTCCTTCCCCCCAAAATAGCAGAGTTATTTGACTCTGTACTGCTGTGGCTCTGTATCAACCTTCCCTGGGAGGTAGCAAATAGTCAGAGGAGACTTCCGAAAATGCTGAGGTATCTGGTCTGGGGAAGGATACATGGTCCTTGACATGTCCTCCATCCAAACTAGCTGAAATAAAGTGGTGAGCCACTGGACTCAGGTTAAAAAAGAGACATGAAATGGAAAGTGAATGACAAGAATTTTACCATTTTCTGTGGCCTAGTCACTTCATGTTTCACTGGTTAATTCTGACAAAAAATTCTGTCCTTCTTTCCCTTTCTCACCTCCATGCTCCTAAATCAGACTTGTGGATACAGTGATGATCTCATGAGATGTCATAGTGGAAACTGTGCAGCAGATTGGATAACAAGTGAGCACTGTGTTTGAAGAGCTCCAGGATGGCAGGAAAGTGACAGTCTAAGAAAGAACAGACCGAGAACTCAGGTGTCACCATTTAACTCTGGAGAAAGAGATGGAGGAAAGACATTCACAGGAAGTTTATACTGAGCATTGCTATATAAACTGCAGCCCCTGCCTACCATGTCCTATGTGACAGTGAAAAATACATCTATACAGAATCTTCTCCTTTATTACTAGAACGTGCATGCTAATGGTGTGACATATAAAGAAGTTCTGAGCATTCCTACCAACATGTAGCAAAACACTTTCAATATCACTCTTGTGTCTGCTATTGGTACTCTATGTGGTACATATGGAACAGAAGTGTTTCCTATAAAAATATTTTAATATTTATATAGAGATGAAACTTTCTTCTCTATGAGTATAAGTAATTATGGGACAACAATCTCAGTGTGGTGTGGGAGAAACACACAGTGTGGTGGACGAAAGAGCTTCCCAGCAAGACAGGCCCTGCCATCATTCACAGCTATAATCATGTAATTCTCTGTTGTCTGTTGTACCAAGTCTATTCATGTGTGGCATTTTCTCTATACAGTAAGTTACCTAAGCAAAGTCAAATCTGAAATAACTGCATCTTTCATTCTGACTAACCTCACCACACCACAATAATTACCTTCAATGTTTTATCTTCACACATGGGGTTTTGTTAAACCAGTAAATTACAAACTTTTAATTTCATTTAAATTATAAATATAGCCGTATATCCAGCTATTCAGATAAGTATAAGTCAAAGGTGACCATGAACAAAACTTGAACTCACTTCCTTAATTATCATTGGTTTCTTAATAACTTATTCTTAATTTCACAATCTTAATCAAAATATATCAAGAGTGAAGAAATTCAGCCATGAGTTTCATTACAAATTAAGAATAATAAAATAGCATTGAGAATGTTGGCTGATAAAGAATGAAAAAAATAAATTGAAAACATGCAATAAACTTCCCTGCACCTCACACATGTGAAAGTACCAGTGGACTATATATAAGTTATTCCCTTTTCATTTCTTGTATCTTCCTCACATACAAAAGCCTTGTTAAAATTGTAGATTTAAAACTCTATTAATATGAGTAAACAGTGACAACAAACGTGAATGATGAGGCTTCTCTTTCAACACTACTTTTTATTTCTTTTGCCTAATTGTAGGTATTTTCAGACTTTGCATGGGCTGACATGTTAATCTTATTACTGGGATATAGTTGGAAGGGCAAGGGTGTATGAAGATTAAGGTAATGGTATAGGCTTGATGGATTTATATACTTATATGAAATAAGAGCAAAAAAACCTCTTGCTCTGTAATAAGAACAAGGAGAGGGTTGAGGGGAGGATACGATGGGAGCAATGTGACCAATGTACAATATAATCCTAATAGGAATTATCATTATGAATACCGTCCTCTATAATGAATATATCCCTAGGAATAATATGAAACCCAATTTGAAATAATGATCTAAAACAAAAGTGGTGTGGTGGTGTGGCTAAAGTCATAGAGCCTTGTATAGGAAGTGTGACTCTGAGTTCAAACACCACTGCCACCAAAAGCAAAAAATAGAAAAGAAACATTTCTGATGATCTCAAACAGGAGCGGTCTCCAGCATCAAAGTTCATGGTGGTGTCTGGTAAGAGCTTCTGGGTAGAAACCAGAGCTTTAGGAAGAAAAGTTCATGTTAGTGTCTGCACCTATTGTTGGGCCTGAAGCTGAGCTTGCAGTGAGCTGATCTCCACCTACCAGTCACGGGTGCTCTGCTGGAAGGTTTATGTCAGGAATCATATTTAAGTCCCCTCACTGTGTCTCTTGCACAGTAATACACAGCTGTGTCCTCTGTGGTCAAAGAGCTCAGCTTCAGGGAGAACTGGTTCTTGTATGTGTCTCTGGTGATGGAGATGCGTCTCTTGAGGGATGGGCTGTAGTTAGCGTTTCTAATATAAGTTATGTACCCCATGCACTCCAGGCTCTTTCCTTTGTCTTGGCAGATCCAGGACCAATAGTAACTTTTGGTTGCAATGGAGAACCTGAGAAAGCACAGGTGAC